AACTTGTCTGTTCCCTTTCCCCCAATTCCCCAGCACTGTTCCTATCCCCCAATTCCCCAATAAAAATCTTTAAAAAAAAAAAAAAAAAAAAAAAAGCTCTGGGTTTACTGATACATCCCCGCGGGCAAGGGAAGTAAAAGAAAAAATGAACATATGGGATTACATCAAACTTAAAAGTTTTTTCACAACAAAGGAAACTATCAATAAAACATAAAGGAAGCCTACTGAATGGGAGAAGATATTTGTCAACGATATATCTGATAAGGGGTTAATATCCAAAATTTATAAAACACTCGTGCAACTCAACACCAAGAAAACAAACAACCCAATTAAAAAATGGGCAGAGGATATGAAGAGACATTTCTCTAGAGAGGACAGACAGATGGCCAACAGGCATATGAAAAAATGTTCAACCTCACTAATCATTAGGAAAATGCAAATAAAAACCACCTCACCCCTGTCAGAATGGCTATCATCAATAAATCAACAAACAACAAGTGCTGGCGAGGTTGTAGGGAAAAGGGAACCCTGGTGCACTGTTGGTGGAACTGCAGATTGGTGCAGCCACTATGGAAATCAGTTTAGAGGCATCTCAAAAAACTGGAAATGGAGCTATCTTATAACCCAGCAGTTCCACTCTTAGGTATTTATCCAGAAAAACTCAAGACACTAATTTGAAAAAATATATGCACCCCTATGTTCATTGCAGCGCTATTTACAATAGCTAAGACTTGGAAACGACCAAAATGCCCATCGGTAGACGACTGGATTAGGAAACTGTGGGGCCGGCCGACTGGCGCATTGATTAAGAACTGGCTTGGGATGCCAGAGGGCCCCGGTTCGGATCCCACATATGAGGGCCAGTGACACTGCCCTCTGCAGCTAAGATGGAGAACAAAAGGACAGCAACTTGTCTGTTCCCCTCCCCCAATTCCCCAATAAAATCTTAAAAAAAAAAAAAAAGAAACTGGTGCATTTACACAATGGAGTATTACTCAGCTATAAAGAAGGAAATTGTACCATTTGCAACGATATGGATGAACCTAGAGACCATTATGCTAAGTGAAATAAGTCAGTCAGAGACAGACAGATACCATATAATCTCGCTTATATGTGGAATCTAAAGAACTGAATAAATGAGTAATGTAAACAGAAATAGTCTCAGAGACACAGAGGAAAAACTGATGGTTGCTAGATGGGAGGGGGTGGGGATGAGGTAGAAGGGGAAGGGACGAGACAACATAAATTGATAAGTACAATATGGCCCCAGGGATAGAAAAGACAGTCTGGGGAATATAATCAATAATGTTGTAAATATTTTTTAGGGGGCCAGATAGACTCATGTCTTGTTAGGGAGACCACTTCATAGACGGTGTAGAGACCTGACCACTGCACTATACATCTGAAGCTGCCGTTGAATAATATTATATGTCAGCTATAATTTAATATATATATAGTCATGGGATGTGGAGTATAGTGTGGGAATGGCGTCAATAGAATTGTAATAGATATGTATGCTATCAGGGGTAGTAGGACAGTGGATGGGGGGAGGGGGGTTGTCATTTTGTAAGGGGTGAAAAGGATAACTATTGCATTGTTTTGTACACCTGAAACTGATTAAAAAAAAAAGAACATTAAAAAACAAAACAAAACAAAAAAACAAAAGAGCCCTGGAGTCTTTGAGCACCTTGCCCAAAGTCATGGGGCCAGAGAGTGGCAAAAGCAGGACTGAGACCTAGGCCGCTTTACCCATGTCCATCTGGTGCCCTTTCTGCTCTGTCTCTGCTGTGTCTGAGGGAGCAGTCAGGGTTGGAATCTGTCTCTGGGATTGTGAGATGGAACCGGAAGAGCTGGACCCATTCCAGTGTCCTGTTCCACCCAGAGGAGAGCACCCAGGCCATCTTGAGTCCTACCCAGGAGCTCTGGTTTATGCACGCCCTCAAGGGCCATCTCTCCTGCCCCTCCTGTCCCTCCTGCTTCTAGTGGCCTGACCCTGCTTTTCTGTTCTTGTTTTTCAGAAGTTGAGCTGCCCCTGAAGAAGGATGGGTTCACCTCAGAGAGCACCACGTTGGAAGCCTTGCTCCGTGGTGAGGGGGTCGAGAAGAAGGTGGATGCCAGAGAGGAGGAGAGCATCCAGGAAATACAGGTATTTCTGTGTCCCAGTGGGGGGGTTGGCGCCACCAGAGCATCACCGTGGTGCTTCCAGAACCCCAGCACTGGCTCGGGTCCTCCTCTCTAGGGCCAGGGCTGCATCTCAAACTGCCTCATGGCACTGTTGCCAGGAAGCTTGCAGATTCTTTTATGATTTAACGTGTTTCCCAGAAGAAGTCATTGCCCTCTCCAAATCTGTTCCTCTCTGTTGATTTCCCCATTTGTGTACTCAAAATGTATTTTTTGAGCCAGCCATGTGCTATGCATGGTGCTAGGTCCTGGAGGGAGTGATGGTGAGCAAAACAGATGGAGTTCTCACCCCTGTGGAGCCAACTGTCCATAGTCCAGGCTCCAGACTTCAGGGTTGTCTGCATCAGCTGGTGCCCAGTGAGTCTTTGCCTCACCCCTGCCCCACTGCCTCCCACGCCTTCCTTGGCTCCAGTTCACTCAGTCCTTTCACAGCACCACCCACTCCTCCTTCAGGGCCAGTTTAGAAGTTACCCTCCAGGCAGGGTTGGTGGCTCCTGTTCCCGTATGTTCACCACCTTCTATTCACGCTAATAAGGCTTGCTTGCACCGTGCAGGATTCTACAGGTGTGCTCTAACCATGCCGTATATATTTGTCTTGAATCCTTTCATTGGGTACAATGGTTGGCACAGAGTATTGTAATAATGTGAAATAATACAAATATTAAATGATAGTATTAGTAATGAAAAATAATCAAATTATTAAAATTAAATTACACGGATAGTCAATTTATATTCAATTTTTATATTTTGTTACACATATGGTATGTTACATAGTTGATAATTTTATATCCAAGTTTATATATTTATATATTAATTTGTTACCATTATCATTAAATTAATAACAGTTGAATGTTTGGTTTGCTTCATAAGTACCACCCGCCTGAGTCCCATCGAGTCAGGGACCAAGCTGCCGTGTTCGCCATTGCACCCTCGGGTCTTATTCGTGCCCAGCAAGAGTCAGGTCTCAAGAAAGATGAAGGAATCAGTGAACCGGGCCCCTTTCTCTGCCATTCCCGCGTTCAGATGAATGGTCAAGTCTCTTCCATTTAGTTGTCACAACATGGCTTCTAGTTGTTTCTTCCTTGACTTCACAGAGCTACAGCCCTAGTCCAGATCCTTATTATCGGTCGCCTTTGTTTGTCTGACACACCTAGAGTCATCTTTGAGGACGGTCTTTCTCTCGCACCCAACATTCCAATTCATCAGGAGCCTTGTTGACTGTGCCCACAACATAAATTCAGAGCTTAGCCCCTGCTCACCGCATCTCTGCCACTGTCCTGGTCCAGGCCACTCTCAGCTCCTGTCTGAACTGTGGTGGTTGCTTTCTAAATGGTTCCCCTGCTAATGGCTGGGAGGGAGCCTTTCAAAATTTAAGTGGGTCCTGTCATTCTTGTGCTCAGAACTGCCTCCGGCTCCTGCTCTTCCAGAGTGAAAGTCAGGGCCCTCTTACTTACTGCTCTCTGACTCGGGGCTTCCTCGTTCCCGTTCTCACTCTGCTCCAGGCACACGGACCTGCTCCTGGAACATGCCGGGCACAGCCTGGCCTCTGGGCTTTGCTCTGGCTGTTTCCTCTGCCTGCAAAGTCCTCTCCCCCAGGTATCCTGGTGTCTCTGTCCCTCACCTCCTTCAAGTTTTTGCTTTTCTCCTCTTCTCTCCGAGGTGTATCCTGACCACTGTGTGTAATGCCACATCCTGTGCCCTGCCCACCCCGCAGCACTCCTGATTCTCTTACTCTGCTTTCCTTGTCTTTTTCGGTCCCCCGTAGCTCTTACCACCATCGAATGTACTTTATTTTCTGTTTTTTTCCAAAGAATGTAAACCCCTCAAGGGTAGGAGTCTTTGTCTGTCTTGCTCACTAATATATCTCAAACACCCACACAGTGCCTGGCACATAGCAGGTGCATAATGACTATTTACTGAGCGAACAGATAACTCTGCGTTGCACCGTCCCTGGTCCTTCCCCTCTCCAGCATGGCCTACTTTGTTAACTGACCTTTCCTTCTGAGACAGAGCTCTGCTTGTCTCACCCCCTTGCTAAAACACTCAGCTAAAACACTTTCATTTCCTTCTAAGTACATCCAAAGTGATGAGTGGACCTTCCTGAGCCTCTTCTCCCTGCTCCTAGCCTAGTTTTGGGGCTTATTTCCCACTATTCCTTTTCTCCCTCTGTTCCCCAGCCTTCTTCCCTCTGTGCCTCTGATCGTCCTGTGCCCTTTGTCTGACATGCCTCCCTTCCGTCTTCATGCACCAATTCCAGCCATCTCTTAGGCTTGGCTCCAATGCCACCTTCCCCATGAAGCCTTTCTCAACCTGCCCCCCCCCACACACACACACACAGCACAGGGATCTCTTCTTGCCTCTGGCATTTAGAGTATCTAGTACTTTTTAAAAAATAAAATTTTTGTTGTTGTTTTTCATGTATGATCCACCATTTTGGGACTTTCAGGTCTTTGAAGTCAACATCTGTCCCATCTGTATTGCCCATTTAGTGTGATGTGACTGAATCAGTGAAGGGGACAGAATCATTGCCCAGAAAGCCTTGATGCTCTAGGGACAGGTAGCCCTTTCCCTTTAGAGCTGGCTGGTGGTGGGTTTGAGTTCTTCTCAGGCAGCATTGGGCCAGTATATGGGCTGTCACTCTGGAATTGTCACCATCGTCTCTGATGTGAACTGAACGTCCACTCTGTACAGAGCATGGGGCTACCATCTACTGTTCTAGAAGCTGAAACCAGAACCATAAGCCAAGTGACTTTATATGTTTTTATTGGCTTTGACTATTAAAATAAAGTACATATGTAGTAAATGGACAGTTTTGTTAATTTTTTTCATTCATTCATTCCACCCAAGTTTATCGAGTGCTTCCTGTGAGCAGGCACTGTGCTAGGTTCTAGGGAAGGAGAGAAACCAGGAGAGACGTGTCCTCTCCCTCCGCTCATACTTATACTTTGGTGTGACAGACAGAAAGCAAGTAAACGACTAGAATAATTGTGTTTCAGGACCAGTGCTTTGCAAAGAACAGAGTATGAAGGTTCCGTATAAGGAGGAGTGGATTCTAGGTAGTGTCCTCAGGGAGTAAGGATTTAACCTCAGTCCTATGGGATGAGGAGCCAGCAAAGTGAGGATCCCAGGGAAGAGCTTTCCGGCAGAGGAGCGGTTTGCTCGGAGGCATCAAGGGAGGCCTGAGCTTGTGTGTTGAAAGAACAGACAGAAGGCCGGTGTGGCTGGAGCCCGGGGCCAGGGAGAGAGGAGCCTGGGATGGAGCTGCAGGGACCATTGCATGCCAGCCTCCCAGGACGTGGAAGAGGCTCATGATTTCATGGGAAATGAAAAAGGAAGCCACGTGGAGGATGGTAACCAGGGCGGTGAAGTTGTGTTTCATCAGGCTCCTGGTCCCTGCGTGGAGAGGAAGCTGGGTGCAGGGCCAGCAGTGGAAGGAGGGAAACCAGTTAGGAGATTGTTATAGCTTTCCAGGCCAGCGTTAATGGAGTCTTTAAAAAGGAATTCCTCCTTCTTTTTTTCAAAAACATAACCGCACACCATTGTTATCATCACCGTAAAGACTGTTTAGAGTAACAGGGAGAGAAGTTATTTTAAAATGTGTTTATTTTCCAGATAATGTCCTTGGACAGGGAATGTAAGTGTGTCCTGGGCGATCAGCTGCATCTCTGGTTGGACACCCCTGCCCTTTACTTCTAATAAGGACGCCCCTCTGCTTCCTGTGCCCTGAATGTGACCTTTGTGTGTTAGGAACTTCTGCCTCCTCCCGAGTTATGTGGCAAGGCTTCTGGTATCAGGGCCATGTTGCAGGAAGTGCAAACGCACTGGGGTGGCTGCTGTCAAATCTGAGGCTTGGGGCACAGACAGAGGTTCTAGAGACGCAGGGAAGCCCAGGGGAAGAGAGAGGGATGGAGCCTGGGGGAGAAGTCAGTTTACTCCTGGACATTGAGGCCATGTGGCATTTCTGGGGACTAGCTCAGCTGCCTTGACCAGTCTTTCATGTATCAACCTAGAGTCCATATCGCAGGTAATAAATACCTTCATAATAAAAAATGAGAGGAGTCAGAATTGTGCTAAGATGCTAGAGGCAATGACCTTTACATTCGAGGCACTTGGAACTTACCATGATTAAATGACTTCAAGACCCAGAAAGTTTGCAAGATGGCTGTGTATGAACAGCAACAACAGTTGTAATAAAATACCTCGTGTTTATACCACATCTTTTTACCGAAGGCTGCAGAGTTTTGACTTGTCCTTGTCTTGCTTGGCTTTCGCTCATGCTCCCACTCTCTGTTCAGGAAGCCTAGACGCAGGGAGGCTAGGAGGCTTGCCCTGGTCCTGCGCCAGTGTTTCCTAGCTGTGGGCCAGAGGTTGTGTCCAGCAGACAATGCTTCTCTGTTAGATGACTAAGGTTGGCCCAGCGACCCATGATGGCTTCCCAAATAAACCTAGTAGAGAAGCCAGAGAAGAATTTACTAGACCTATTTTGAGTTCTTTGGGAGGATTTGGTAATTAGCAGTATCTTGACCCCTGTGATTGGAACAGAATTCTCTGACAAGAAGGCAATGGGAGAAGGTCGCTGGTAACTCATTCCTGGGCTTCCTGCTTTGAGGACAGGTCAAAGGCATTGTCCAGGAGGCCACTTGAACAATGATGGTCATACCAGATGTCAGTGAAGTGTGTGCTGCTTTCGAAGCCTTCTCGTAGCTGTGTGATTGTCACACCATCACCACAGGATGGGTGGATGCTGTTATCCTGTATAACTTGGTGCCCACCCACCTCCTGCCCGCATCTCATGCCAGTCCCTTCCCGAGCCACCAAGCTCTGGTGACATTGGCCTCTTTCTGCTCCCTGGACAAGTCATGTTCCTCTCCCTGCCTCAGGGAATTTGCTCATGCTGTTCCCTCTGCGTAGAATACTTTCCTTCCCTCTTCCCTGTTCCCATTCCAAGATGAGTCTTTTCTCTCCTTTACCATTTCAACTTTCTTAGGTCACTTCCTCAGGTAAGCCTTACCTGACCCTCAGATTAGTTAAATTTCCTTCTAATACCCTCTAATAGCAGCTGAACTTGCCTGTCGTGTTTTTATAGCAGTTGTAATGATGTGGTTATGTGTGTTGTTTAAATCTGTCCTCCCTTCACTAAGCTTATAAAATCCATTTGCAGCCAGGACTGTAGCCACTAAGTGGCTTATCTAGCATAGCGCCTGCTATGTAGTCAGCTCTAGACAAATGTTTATTGGTTGAATGAGTGAATACATTTCTAGTTTTATAATTGGGGAAACAGGTGTAAAGAGAGGGTGACTCACCCAGGGTCACACCGTGGGCCCATAAAGAAACCCCCAGGGCCCCTGACATGGAGTCCAGTGAGCCCCATGCCCTTCCTTCTGTTTCACCCCCGCTCTGGAGGCCGGGTCCTCTGCCACTATCTTTTGTCCCTCCCTTAAGCCTAGAGATGTATACTTACCCACTGCCTCCCCCCACAAAGGCAGTGAAGTGCTCAGGCCCCTGCAGGAAGGGTATGCCATATTATAGCCATTATATAGACGACCTTCAGACTCAAGGCTGAGAAACAAATGGAAAACTCTGCTGAAGAACCTGACCTTGTTCTGGTTATGGAGTAGTCAAACCTGTTTTTAGCCTTAGTTTATTCACCTGTAAAATGGAAATGGAATTCTCTGCTGCAGTGTGACACAGACGTTGGAGAGAGAGAATTCAATTCATGATCCTTAAGCTCCATTACAAGTAATGTGCTGTCATGAAAATCCATTTTTCTTTAAAAATAATAATGGGTGATTATGAACAACACATTAACGTCAAATTCTGGTCAAATGAACAGGAAGTTACTTGTTTTCATCAAACAGGGCAGGGTTCCAACATGGCAGGGAAAGGAGAAACATATTTTCAATTCAGGAACAAAAGGAAAAGTACATTGAAGAAAGTCAGTCTTGACAAAACATCTTGGGTCCACATAGAAAATTGCTCCTGCCAGAGTATTCTCTCTTTAGAAAAACCTTTTTTGATCAAAAGAGCTGAAAAGGATCAGTGTCCTGGGAGGACTTGGCTGGAAGGGGCCCAAGGGTTTGAGAGAGAGTTGATACCGCCAAACGCTCAAACTCTGGGTGGCATTCTGGAAGCCCTGTTTCCCAAGCAATGGCAGCCTCTTCACTCTGTTAAAACACGGCAACAAAATGGAACACCCCCAAAATTACCCGCTGATAGTTTTCTCCTGTGTATTTTATTTGTCCTCTCTTCATTTTCTTCTCATTTCAGAGGGTTTTGGAAAATGATGAAAATGTAGAAGAAGGAAATGAAGAAGAGGATTTAGAGGAGGATATTCCCAAGAGAAAGAACAGGACCAGAGGACGGGTAAGTGGGGATGCCTCGAGGGCGGAGAGAGATTATGGAGGCCAAGGCCATGCAGAACATTGCTCCCCAGTTTCAAAACCCCGCTACAACTAGAGAAAGGTCATATCCATGGTTTTTCTTGCAGAATACTCAGGGAGGAAAACTCTAGAAGGGCTCTAAGCCCAGGTGATCGCCTGCAAGGGTTTAGAGCTGGCAAGAGGGAGAAGAGGCAGAGGGTGTCTTGAGGGGAGGGCGAGGGTCTGGGGAAGGTTGGAGGTGGGATCAGGGTGAGAGTGGGTGACAAGGAAAATGTGACAGTTGTCCCCGTTACTTGGTCTTGTAAGAGAAGTCTGAAAATTTCCTGTCCCTGGGGCTGCCCCAGGATGACAGGGTCAGGACACCTGCTTTGGCGTGTGCCTCATTAGGCAGAGAGTAGGATCATGCTGGGAAAGCATGGGGACCATCGCTGATGGTTCCCAAGTGGGTATGGCATGGGCTTTGGGGGCTTGTGGTCTTGGAATGTGGCAGGAAAATGTCAGAAGCCTAGGGAACAGCAGAAGGGAAATTTATGGTGGAAGGAATAAAAATATGAGAGTGGCTCTGGACAGTAGGGAACCAGACTTGGGTGGTGGTCTCAGGTATTCAGGCTGGTGGTCCTCAAGAGTCTTCATGTTCAAGCCCAAAAGGGCTTTCTGTGATCACTGTCAGAGGTCTGTAAGGTGATATATCTGATATATTATATCTGATATAATAACCAGGTAGAGAGGGACCTCCAGGGGGTGTAAACTGCTGCTTTCCATCTAGAGAATTAACTCTCTTAGGCCTGTCTGGCTCCTCCAGGCTCTAGGGAGGACCCTTACTTTTCCCATGGACAGGAGGCTAGTCCTGAGTGCCCTGTGGGTTGGGATCTAGTGATAATTATGACAAGCCTCTCTATTCCCATTCTTGTGCCTTAGTATACATCAGAACCCTCAGGAAAGCTTATCAAAATGCAGACTCCCAGCACCTACTCCCAGAAGTTATGATTTAGGAGGTCTGGGGGAGGGCTTGGAAGGCTGTGTCATAAGCAAGTTCCTGGGAGACTGGAGCCAGCGGTCCAGCACTGCCCACCCTGAGTTGCGATGCCCCAGCCTGTTGACAAGCTGGACTTCTGCAGTCTGGGCAGGGCAGCCCTCTGAGTCTGCACTCCTTATGTACTTGCCACCGAGCTTCAGCAGTGACCGATGTTTTGACAGTCTTGTTTTATATGTTCTTTCCTCCCACTTTTTGTAGGTTTGTATGTTTTATTTTTTTATGTATGGAATATTTGAAAGCAAGTCCTGGCTACATTATCATTTAATGTGCCTCAGTGTATATCTCTGACATATCACTACCATACCCAACACAAAGAACCGTTATTCTAAGGTCTACTATTCAGCCCCAAATCATTGTTTTGTTTGAAACTTAATCCTCTTGTACTCCACAGCATACTTCTTCCTTGCTACACCCTACACATGTATTTTTGTTCTCCATGCCATTTATGTGATGAAGAACTTGGGTGGTTGGGCTTATGGAATTTCTTACATTCTAGATTTGGTGGACTGGTGCTATTTAAGGTGTTCCTCTCTCCTCTTTATTTCCTGAAAACTGGTGGCTTGATTAGAGACTTGATTAGATTCAGGATATTTATATGTGTGTGTGTGTGTGTGTGTGTGTGTGTGTGTGTGTGTGTGTGTGTGTATGTGTATTTTCTTGATGGGGCAAGAATCTTTCCTAGTTGTGGTTTATACTTATTGTGTAACATCAGGAGGCATATGTTGTCCAATTGTTTTCCTTCTAGTGGTGGTAAAATTGATCATTGGTTCTGGGTGTTGTCAGCCTGTGTCTTATAAAGTTCCCCATAAAGTTTTCACCTAATTGCTTTAGCAGCCACTGATAAACTTGCCTAGACCTGTGAGTTCATTGGAGGTTACAAAATAATGAGTATCTAATGCCATCATTAAAGGAGGCTTTAATGTGGAATTGCTTGGCCTTCTGTGAACTCCAAGAGCTTTGTCACCTCCAGGCCTGCTTCCATCTGTTCCCTCAGCCCACACGAAACATAACTCAGTAGATTGCAGAGTGAGACTGGTCCTCTTCACATTCTCTCTGCTCCCCCTAAACCTAGACGATTGAACTCACAGTCGTCGAATATGAAAAGGGTGTCTGTTAGAATGTCAGCAGTAGCGAAAGCAGCCATTTTTACTTCCTGTGTGCTTACTCTACACCAGGCACTGTGATGAGGCCTGTACAATGAAAGCTACTGCAGAGACGGTGAGGACTGAGCACTGTATCCTGCATTCACAGCACTGGCCACGTGTGGCTACTAAGCATTTGAGATGTTGCTAGTTCAAACTGAAAAGTGCTGTTAAAAAAAAAAAAAAAAGCTGTAAATATAAAATACACACCAGATTTCGAAGATAGTATGCAAAGAGTACAGAACAACTCATTCACATTTTTACATTGATTACATATTGAAAGGATAATATTTTGGATATATTGGGTTAAGTAAAATATATTATTAAAATTAATTGCACCTGTTTCTTTTTACTCTTTCTTTAAAAGTGTGTCTCCTGGCAAACTAAAAATGACACACGTGGCTTGCATTATGTTTCTGTTGGCCAGTACCGCTTCTTCCATTTCCGCAAGTTGGTATTATTACTTCCAGAGAGTTTAAGTAACTTGCTTAAGGTCATCCAACCTAGTCAGGAAGAAGTCAGGATTTGAACACAGGTCTGTACTTTTTCCCCTGGGTCACGCGTGGCCCAGTGTCCAGCATGTGGCCAATGACCAGTTTGTTGAATTAATGATTGAATGATGGAAAAAGAAAGAAAAGTCACATTTTAGCTTTGTGGGAGCCAAGAGAAGACCTGAATACAGTGAGGGGGGTAGGGGGGGTTAGGTGGGGCCTAGACTAGCTCTGGACCCACCTCCTGCTGGCCGAGGGGCAGTTGAATGGCTCTGCATTGTGCAGTGACACTGTGGGCATGTCACCGACGGTGGGAGCCACGGGCAGACCCGGAAGACTGGAGGTGAGCCTGCCTGTGCTGGAACAAGTGTGTGAAGCTGTTTCACCTGCAGCCCCAGCCGAGCCACCCTTGAAGGTGGCGTATTCCAGCCGCTGCTGGCTCCTGGAGAACAGTCCCACCCATTTCTGTTGTCAGGACTGAGAGGCAGCCTAAAGCCATGCACCTCCACATGTGGTCCCTGAACTGTTAACATCAGAGTCTCCTGGGTGACAGAAACGCAGGACCCCAGACTCTACCCTAGTTGGACTGAATTAGAGTCTGCACTTGACTAAGACCCCCAGGTGCTTTGTGTGCTCATTGAGGAAGTCAGGGTTAAGGTAGTGATTACAATAACAGCTTCTGTCTTGTTTGCACCATGAGTTCAAATCCCAGCTCCACCACTTACTAGAATTGGGTGAATTATGTAACCTCTGTGACCTTGACCAAATTTTGTAAAGACTCTGGGCCTTAGTTTCTTCAGCACTAAAATGGGACCAATAATCCACAGCCAATTCTGAGTGCTTAATAAAGGCTAGATATTATGAGCAGGGTGCCAGCAAAGAGAACAATCCTTGGAGTTCTGACAATGGATATTCCCTGAGAGGTGAGGGAAATTCAGATTCAGCAGTTAAAGACTGTGTTTGGTAACTTTAGTCCAAGAAATCTAAGCTCCTTAAAATTCTATGATGAAGTTTCTATGAGTCATCCACGTGAGTGTTATCAATCAATTGATCAATAAAAAAAATGTTAAACTTAGGAATATGCAGACACATAGTGTGATGACATCGTCATATCATGTAGCCTCTGGAAAACTCCACCACGCACTTTTGAGAGAATGAGAGTGAGAATTTCAAAGAACATTTAGTACTGTTACGAAAGTAGTTTTGATATTACAGGGGTCTCAGGGACCCTCAAAGATCCCTGGACCACTTTTTGAAAATCACTGGTGTAGAGGAATTAGCTCTCTGAGCCTGTCCCAGTCGAGGGTCTTTTAATTGCCAGACATTCAACGGCTTAAGCAAAAATGGGAAGTATTTGCAAAGCTGCTGGGCCATTGCTCTAACTTTGAGCCGTCTTTGAAGATTCAAACCTCAGGAAGGGCAAGAAAGTGGCAGAGATTCAGGATTGGGAAAGAGTAAGGCACCCAGGTCTTACTTCTCCCTCCATTCTTCTCTTGCAAGACTGCCTTCCCTGCTTCTCTGTGCACGTGGCCCCGTAGCTCCTGAATTGCTGGGTCCTCAGTTTAAGTGACCTGTTCTAACTAGGGTCACTGTTTCCCAATTCCAAGTCCTTTGGAGTTAGAATCTGATTATCCCAGCTTAGGTCAGGTGTCTACTCCTGAGCCAGCTGATCAGCTGTGGCCAGGGGGGCAGGGCCATGTGGTACAGTCATTGATGTCATGGCTTACCAGTGTGTGAATGGGAGATGGAGTACAGAGGAGTGGAGTAGGGTGGGCATTTCTCAGAGAGGGGGACTGGTTTATTTTGGGAGGTCAGCTTCAAAGATTTCTATCACAGAGTCTGGGAACCTTGGTCCTGTTCCTTCTACTGGTTCTGTGGCTGTGGACAAGTCATGAACCCTCTCAAGGACCTGTTTTATCAAGTGCCAAATGGGAATAATATTACTTGCTCTAACTCATAGGGCATTGTAGGAATCAACGGAACTCATCTGAGGTGTGTTAAAAAATACGGTGAATTTTTTTTTTTCTTAAAGATTTTTATTGGGGAATTGGGGGGATGGGAACAGTGCTGGGGAATTGGGGGAAGGGGAACAGACAAGTTGCTGTTGTTTTGTTCTTCAGTCTAGTTGTGGAGGACATCGCTTCACTGGCCCAAGTTGGCACCATCATTGCACTCTTCCCGGGCGAGGCAGATCAGTCGCCGGCTTCTGGATGGCCGCTCACGCTGGCTGCTGGCTACACACGTTAGCCCATGGCAACCCACTGCCACAGGGGCTGCAGCCTGTGCTATCGCCGGCAACTCACAGCAGCCCAGCTCCAGGCTGAGCTGTTGTTCAGCATCTTAGCTGTAGAGGGCAGTGTCACTGCCCTCTGGCGTCCCATGCCAGTTCTTAACTATCGCGCCACTCGGCCGGCCCTACGGTGAATTTTTAAATAAAAAAATTTATTACAGTAAAAGATACATTGCCATTAATTCCCCTCAAAATACTCCCCTTCGCTTCTAAGGCACTTATCCCAAATGTTCTTGCCACTTTCTGAAGCAGTTCTGGAAATCCTCTTTTGTGACTGTCTTTACTACATCCTCCATCATGACAACGCTCAGTGTCACACATTGCTTCTGGTACGGCAACTTCTGTCAAATAAAAACATTATGGTGTGTCCTCATCCACCTTATTCACCGGATCTGGCATTGTGCGACTTCTGGCTCTTCCCCAAAGTCAAAATAACCATGAAAGGTAAACATTTTGAATCAACTCAGGACATTGAGGCAGCCATGGATGACAGCGCAACTAAAGACACTCACGAAAGAGGACTAATAGAACTGCTTCAGAAAGTGGCAAGAATGATGGGATAAATGTGTTTGAAGCGAGGGGGAGTATTTTGAGGGGGATTAATGCCAATGTCTTACTGTAATAAGTTTTTTTAAACCTAAACATCCACCATATTTTTTAATCACACCTTGTATATGTGAAAAAGTTTTGGATGCTGTGTGCCCAGCATAATGCTAAGTGTTGGGAACTCCTAATAAAGTATGAAATGCATCTTTGCTCTCAAGGAGTTTGGGATTAAATTGAGGAGAAAATACTAATAGCCATGACACCATTAGAAAGCAGCAGCCTTCTCTGACTGTGTACTAACTAACCAAATGAAGTAAGAGTTCAGAGGAGAGAGCACGCGCCTTGGGCAAGGAGGGGAAATAATTCATTGAGCACTTCCTGTAGCCATAGTGCTCTCCACTGTGGTTTCACATATCCTTAGCTCTAACTTCCCCCAACAACTCTGCAGTAAAGGTGTTGCCATGCCCATTTTACAGTTAAGAAAACTAGAGCTGAGAGAAGTAACTTGTCCAAAGACACGTAGCTGGTGCTTAAACCTGAGTCTTTCTAACTTCTAAGCTGATGCTGTTTTTACTTCTCAGTGTGGCAAGAAGAAGACTGTTAGGGGCATGGGATGTTAGCAGGGCTACAGCATGGGTCAGATGGGGATGGACAGAGAGGTGGATCCATGACACGGATCAATAAAAACAAAGGCGTGGACATGCATGAGCTTGAGGTGAGCCTGAGGGGTTGGCACTAAGTCACCATTGGATGTGTCATTGGGTTTAGGATGGCAGTGAATGAATGAATGACCACGGAGTCCTGTCCTTCACCCCTTTTGTCTGGTTGGTCTGGGAGACGTGCAGGGTGTATAGGGTAGGGCAATGTGGAGGTGGAACCCAGCTGGTGGGTTCTTTGAGCAATTCAGGGGTCAATTGGATGAACTGCTGGATAGAAGGGAAATGCAAAACCTAAGATGGCCTTTGAAGGAAGAAACAACAGCACTTGGATGTAGAGGATGAAGGGGAAGAACCAAAGATGGCTGACTCACTGACCCACCGACTGAGTGGTTCATGTATTCAGCAAATGTTTATAAAGTGCTTCTTGAGTGGCTGGCCCTGTGCCAGGTTCCAGTGATTGTGGCAGCCCAACTAGACATGTTCTCCATCTTCATGTGGGGGTGACAGAAAATCAAGTACACCCACACATGTATAATATAATGTCAGACATTGCTAAGGGCTGGGATGAAATGGAAAGCAGGGTAGGGGAAAGACAGCAATGGAGAGGGTATGAGTGGGTATAAGTTGGTCAGTGAGGGCTTCTCGGAGATGACGTTTGAGCAAGACAAGTAGAATGCCGAGTTTCCAAGCTTGAGATATTCCAGAAGACTGTACGAGGGCTGCTGCCACAGGCAGAACCCCTAGCATGTCCCCTCAGTGCCCTGTAGCCACGATCAACCCCCTCTTTTTTTTTAAAGATTTTATTGGGGAATTGGGGGAGGGGAACAGTGTTGGGGAATTGGGGAAGGGGATCAGACAAGTTGTTGTTCTTCAGTCTTAGTTGTGGAGGGTGCCAGTCGCCATCTGGCTTTCTGTCAGCAGCTTGTGGCCTCTAAACTCAAGGTGCTGTGTTCAATCTTAGTTGTGGGTGGGCATAGCTGCCATCCCATGTGGGAGTCGAATCAGCAGCCTTGTTGTTAAGAGCGTATGCTCTATCCACTGAGCCATCCGGGTGGCAGCTCAGCTCAAGGTGCTGAGCTCAGTCTTAGTTGTGGGTGGGCATAGCCCACCATCGAACAGGCAATCTTGTTGCTACACCAGCTGAGCCATCCTGCCACCTGTTGGCAGCTCAGCGACAGCTTAGCTCAGGCGCAGCATCACTGGCCCATGTGGGAATCGAACCGGCGGCCCGGTTGCTCAGAGCCTGCGCTCTTAAGACAATTCTTAACCAACTGAGCCATTCAGCTGGCCCCACGATCCCCCTTTTACAGTTGAGGAAGCAGAGGTGCAGGGTTAGTGTGGGAGCCTGCAGTCACTCCACTGGTCAGCACTGCAGAGTGAAATGAAACCCTGGCTCTCAGCGGGGCCCTCCCCTTCCCCCTGGCTGGAGCTCGGTGCTTCCAGTTCCTCATCTCCTTGTCCCTGGTGGTATTTTTAGTCTCTCAGAGCCCCTTCCCCGAGTCTGCCGTTGCCTCCGTCATTCTGCCTGACTTGCTTTCACCTGCTCCAAGGCGACTGTGACAAGACTGTGGGCTGCACACGTCAAGCTGTCCCCGGCTTCACAGACGGGGTATGGAGAGGGGTGAGGGCAGCTGAGGGCGACCACCCTCACCATTATGGGCAGGCAGGGAGGCCTGTCAGTGCCTCAGGGTGACTGCCAGCGCCTCAGCTCCCTCTTTGGGTCAACTCTGAGTAATGAGGGCGAGGGGAGGGGGCTGCTGGCTGTCGTGTGTGCAGGGGTGAAGGGCTGGGAGGCAGAGAGGGAAAGAGCAATGGAAGGGAGGGAAGGAGGGAGGTGGAATTTTATAATTTGTTTTGGAGAGAGACAAGCTGAGGAGGTGGTGGAGGTGGTAGCTTGCCAGGTGGTGTTGATTGGAGAGAGAGAGAGAGAGAGAGAGAGAGAGAGAGAGAGAGAGAGAGAGAGAGAGAAAGAGAGAGAGAGAGAGAATGAGAACGGGAACGCAACTCAGGCCTTTTGACCCAGAAGTCCCCAGGGCCACTTTTCTAGGCCAGGCCCCTGGGATTGCCCCATTTTCCCAGTACCACAGGCTGCTGCCATGTTTTCTTTCTTATCTGTTGTGCCTTCCTCTCTGTCCCCAAAGACCCCAGTAGGCCCTTTCCTTGGTTGGGAGTTAACTGCTACTCATTATCAGAGAATGACCCGGAGGAGGCAAGGGTGCTACACATGTGACCAGTGTGGGACTTACAAAGGTTTAAAAATAAACCTTGCTGCATTCTTGCAGCCACTGTCCCAGGGCTGCAGAGCTGCCAGCTCCCTCTCTGGCTGGTCCTTTCTAACCTCATAGGTAGAGCTCATCTCACCCCCATTCCAGGTTACGCTGACTGTTTCTGGAGATGCACACATCTGTGTGGTATCAGTAATCCAGCCCCAGGAGACCGTGAGCTGTCAAGGTCTCTGTCCCTGGCTGGAGGCCTGAGGCAGACCACACAGGGAGGCCTCCGCTGAAGCCCACCCCCATAGCATTGGCCTGCCAGGGTGACAGGAGCTCCCCACATGCCCAGACTCATGGCCTGAGCCCAGATGCCAGGCCTGGCTGGCTCTGGAGAAGCTTGAGGAGGGGAGTGAATGAAGTACCCTGGACTGATGACTGCAATTATGCTACTTGCTCCAATACATCCGTCACCTGGTCAGCCGAGGGGAGCAGGCTTGGTTGGCATCTATGTGCCATGTCAACGAAGCTGAAATGCTAAGGAGTTGGAGGAAGGGGTCCTCCTGGCAGCAGTAGCATATGGAAATTTGATCAACAGAGGCTTTGCAGTGGGATTGTCCTGAGTTAATGTCCTGGCTCTGTACTTAGCAGCTGAGTGGTTGTGGCCAACCTACTTCCCCTCTCCGTTGCCTCAGTCTCCTGATCTGTAAAATGGGGCTGATAGTAGTACCTCCCTCTGGGAGTTGTAAAGATTTAGTGAGAGGATACAGGAGAGTAGCTGAGCGATTTGGGGTAAGTTGTCTAACCTCTCTGGGCCTCCGTTTCCTGGCCTGTAAAATGGGGTTGGTACTGGTACAAATGTGATGAAGGTTGAATGAGGAAATGCTGGCGAAGCACTCCGGGCCTCACAGAGTGCGTGCTCGGGACTGTAGTGATTATCAGAACAACAAGCATCCTGATCCCCCCCCCCGTGTCTCCCCAGGCCCGTGGCTCTGCAGGTGGCAGGAGGAAGCATGACCCCGCCTCTCAGGAAGACCATGACAAGCCTTACGTCTGTGACAGTAAGTACAGGCGATGCCGCATTCCTTCTGCCCCTACCTCGGCCCCACACTTCCCTGTGCTTCCCTGGCTGTCAGCCCCCAGCCTCAGGCCCACTGGCTCCTCCTCGGGGGCCTGCGTTCCCAGCTCCCACGCCTGGGCCTCACCACCACTGCCGTCACCACCTCCTCTCGCTCCCTGCCTGGCCCCGGTGTTTCTGCCTGAGGGAGAGCAAACCAAAAGGCCTCCCGCCTTGGGTGCTGTGCTCCTCTCTCTGGCAGTGTCCTCCTTTGCAGTTTTCCTTCAGCTCTCTTTCACTCTGTCTCCTTAAGATTCATCTCCTATTTCTTTCTCTACATCAGAGAGTTACAAACGGAAGCATAACTCAAAATCCCCCAACAAAGGTACTTGGCTCCTGTGGCTTTTCATTTGTTTCCCTTTAATTTCCTTTCTCCCTCTCCTGTCCTACATAGGGCAAGTTATGAATCTTTCTCTGATGATGACTTAGTTCATAAATGGCCCTCGATCCATCTCCAGCCTGTCTTACTTGCTTCAGAGACATCTTTTGGACAAGGAGCTGCCTGACTCCTGGGTTTAGGGTCTGCAGACAGAGCTGGGGAGGGTGGAGGGAGAGCGCACAAGCAGCAGCGGCAGTGGGTGGACCTCCAGAAACCCTCAGCTTTTGGAAGCTTTGCTGTCAGCTCCAGAGCTTTTGTCTTTCTCACCTAGCCGAGCATTGGATGTGGGTTTAAAATCCTTGCCCTAGTTATCGTCTTACTGCATCGGGCACCATCTGCTCCTTTCATGGTAAGGGCAGCCCTCAGAAACTGCACTCCCTGACCATCTTCCCTTCCCGCTTTCTCCTCTCTGAGGATGCAGAGTTGTGCCACAGGACAGAGGGGCTGCACTGAGAATGGCAACAAAGTGGCTGAGGCCAAGCCCTGGTATGGTGGCCCCTCTGGGCGCCCTGCCCACCTTGCCTGTGTCTGCAGTCTCCACGAAAGCAGGGAGCGGAGCTAGGAAGGTGGGGCCCAGGGAGTGCATTGGGGGTGGCGCCATTTCCCTCCCCTTTCATTGGCCTCTTTTGATTTAAAAAAGTTGTCTGTGCCCAATGGGGTGACAGCTGGTTGGAGAACATTTTGCTAGAAGAGCTCAAACTCCATGACCCCCATTTGGCTGCTTAATACACCATGCAGATGACATTCCCGAGACAACTGCACGTAGCATGTCCATCCCAAAGCTGTTGTGTTTCAGGATGAGGAGGAGGCATGGGGTCTGATCCCGCTTGGCAACACCAGCAGGAGCCTGATTTGGTCTAGGTCTTCCTGAGTGGGGTTCATAAAGGCCCAAGCGTGCTAGCCCTGGGGGGGCTGGCTCCATGTGGCGACGGTCCTTCAGACCTCCACCGAACAGGCTGTCCGGCTGTCTGGCTGGAGCAACTCAGCTCTCATGAATGCCAACAGCTGCTTTGGAATTGGAGCTTTGCCTCTTGATTTGTCTTTTAAAAAGCTTTTTTTCGTTGTGTGATTTTCTGCTGCCATAGATAGTGGAATTACTTCCGCTCTTGCCCTATACCTTTCGTTGGGTTCTCAGCCAATAATCATCCCATACATTCCCAGACACACCGCTGTGTCCTCCGCCCACCTCTCCTCTCCTCTCCTCCCTGCTTAGTCTGAGGTATGCCTCTGCAAAGAGCCCTTTGTGGATGTTCCTCTGTTGCCTGGCTCCCCTCTTTCTGCGAAAAGGGCTTGCATCACACTCTCTCCCCCAGCTCCTGCGGCTTTGTTTAGGGGCCACTCTCTGTTTCCTGTCCCGCTCCCCACAGGGTCTCTTCCTCCTTCTGTTTATGCTGTGGTACTTGGGAGGCCTGATCACCGGCCTGATGCTGGCTTTCTGGAAGTCTCCGGGACTGATTTCTTGGCTCTGCCTGCACTGGCACTGCCTCCCTTTTCCTCTCTCTGCAGAGCAAGGTCCACCCTAGATTGCCCTTCTCTGTTCTGGCTCTCTTAGGAAATTGTGTGGCAGCTCAGTGATTAATAGACTTTATTTTTATCTGGTGCCCTTCAGACATGTGATCCTTTGGGATAGGAATGACCTTTGGAGAGGTCACGAGGCCCACCCCCAACCCCCAAACTGAGCAAGGAATGCTTTTAATAATCTCTAATGCATCCTCAGTAGAGAGGTGTCTGGTCACCTTTTTGAATGTCCCCAGGGATGGTGTTACCATAAGCTGACCTTTCTTCCATGATTCCAATGGTGCTTTGAATGATTGTTTTTCCTTAATAGGAGCTGAAATTTTTCTCTTCTACAGGCCTCCTTATTTTTTTGTGCATCTTTTCCTGTCAAATAGGTACATTGAGCATTTTTGTCTATTCTGGAGGTGCTCTTAATATCCCCTTGTATTGGCTTACCTAGGGCCACATCCCATGATCTCTGCAAGAGCCTGCTCTGAGTTCCCTTTCAGATTTACATTTAAGTTCAGCACTCCCATTGGAAATAGCACCAAGGCCCATTGGCTCAAACAGTAGCAGACACATTTTCTTGTTTATTTTACACATCAGCTCTTACCACCACCCACATCTGTAGAGTGTCGAAGGATCTGGCCACCCCATTGTCCTATGCACCATCTCAGTGACTTCGGAAGGTGGCTATGTGTGTGCTTTTCCATTTATGCATTTGATTATTTCTTTTTCCATGAATCACGCTGCATTTGGCCCTATTGAGTCTCAATAAAGAGATACAGTAATATGTGGCTTCAATATATGGGATTCAATAAAGGCAAATTTAAAGACATTGCCCAGTAGTTAAATTTCATTCTCCACAGATTCACGAGCCCTGCCATTTTTGTATCGTCTGTGGTTTGATTTGCATAATCCCTACTCCATCTTTTGAGTTATTTATGAAAATATTAGGCCACCTTGGACCCCACCACCTCTTTCTGGGTTTATGTGAGTAGTAATAGCTATTTTTCAGATGTGATTTTATTTAATCCTTCTTAGTGTATATTTTTAAATATAATTGTCCTGTTATGTTCTTGGTCCAAGCTTCCCTTTCAAGATGGGTGGTTGAAATATTGTCTTAGCTGTTAACTTCAGGTGATAGATGGTTTGCCTATTGCCTTTCACTCAGCCATTGAATTATTTCATCTCAGAGAAATATTAAATCATCTGAACATAATTTATTTTTTACCTAATCCATGGTGTGTGTATAGACGAATACTTCATTTTCCAGCACGTAACCAGTCTCTATTAATTATCCTGAAAGTTTACCAAGCTTAAGGATTAAAGTTCAGTTTCTTCCCTTTCAAGCTCTTGTTGAAGGAAAAGTGTTCATTACCCATAAACAAAGCAACTAAATATGACTTTGTGAGAAAGGCTGTCGTGTTTGTCAAAGTGTGGACCCGGGCCACTGGCACAGAGATGACCTCGATGTTTATTAAAATGTGGATTCCTCAGCCTCACACCTCTTCCATGAGAACCACTGGGAGGGAGCCGGCCCAGGAACCTGCATTATTTGAGAGCTCCTGAGGGGAGACTGATGAATACTGACTTTTAAGAATGACTGGTCTACTTCATCCAAATTTGAAGGCTCTGGCCTGTGACTGCTCAGCATTTTTTTTTTTTTTGAAACCCCCTGCTCTTTGCATCTGGAAGTCCTCGAGTCTCCCGAAATTCCCCAGGCAGAGTGCTGCTGGCCTGCATCACTGTTTTTGTTGGTCTTTTTAGAGTCTTGCCTTTCCAATTCTTTTAGCATTAGAACTCAGCAGTCCCATATAAAACTCAGCAATCCAGCACTTGACTTTAATTTACTTAATAGCTTTAAACCCTAATAGTCTCATTAGTCCCCTTTTACAGGTGGGATGATAACTGGAGGTAGACATATGAAAGGAATCCTTGGGTTTGGGCTACTGGGATGTTTTAAAAATTATTTCAAGAGTTTGCCTCTTCTCTTCCTAATTGCTCCTGACCCTGAATTTTCTGTTAGCATCATTGGGGCAGACTCCTGGGGGCAGACCTGCTTTTCCATTTTCTTCGTTCAAGGAGCACCATAGGAAAGACGGTGGTAGCGATGGGGTGAGGTTCCAGGGAGAGAGAGAACATTTGTCTCTAAGCCGTAGCCATTTAGGGGGGAGCAAAGCACACATTTGCCCTTTTGCTGAGCACAGGGAAAGTGATTTGTGAGGTTCTCTTTTTCTTACCAGCTTTTTCTTTAAAAATTTTTTTAAAATTAATTTTAATTTTATTGTGGAAAGAAAGTTTAACAGGAAACCTACCCTCTTAACTAATGTTTAAGTGTACAATATGTATTGTGGACTATAGGTACAATGTACAGCAGATCTCTTGAGCTGATTCATCTTGTTTGATGCAAACTTTATGCCTGGTCCACTCTTGAATGTTATGAATTTGATTTTTTTTTTTTGACACCTCATAATTGTGGATCAGGCAGTATTTTTTTTTTTTCTGTGACTGGCTTATTTTATTTAGTAGAATGTCTGCAAGGTTTATCCATGTGTTGCATATTGAAGGATTTCCTACTTTTGAAAGGACAAATAGTATTCCTTTGTATGTACATACCTCACTTTCTTCTTCCATTCATCTGTTGTTGATGGATATTTAGATTGTTTCCACATCTTGGCTCTTGTGATTAGAGCTGCAATGAACATGGGAGTGCTAATAGGTCTTTAGGATCCTGATTTCAATCCTTTTGGATAAATACCCAGAAGTGGGATTGCTGGATCATATGGTAGTTCTATTTTTAATTTTTTGAGGAACCTCCATACTGTTTTCCATAGCAGCTGCATTATTTTGCATTCCCACCAACAGTGTACAAGGTTTCCAGTTTCTCCACGTCCTCGCCAACACTTATCTTTTGTTCCCAGTTTTTTCCGATCATGGTGATTACTCCTGCTAATGGGTGCTTCCAGTGTGCACAGCACTCTGCTAAGCATTTTACATACCTTGTTTCTGTACATCCTCACACTAACCTTGAGAGGCAGGGACAGTTAGCCCCACTTTCCTGTGAA